CTGGCAGGGACAGTGGTGCCAATGGGCACCGGGACCCCGCTCCGTGGCGGGAGCATCCCAGGCCCAGCCGATGTCACCACCTCGGCACCGCGACGAGGCAGTGGGCGCCGACCCTCCGGCACCGACTCGGGCCGCGGGTCAGGACGTCGAGCTTGCGGTACAGCCGGGTACAGATGACACCACGGCACCGACCTCCTCGGCGCCAGACGACTCCGTGGCGCCACCACCTCCGGTCTCTCAGGAGGATTTCAAGGCCCACCAGGAGCTACTCAGGAGGGTGGCATCAAACCTCCAGCTCCAGGCCGAGGAGATGTAGGAGCCGTCGGACACATTGTTTAATGTCCTGACCTCCTCGACGCCGGGGCGTGTGGCCCTCCTGCTCCATTCAGAGGGTGGCCAATATTACTACTGGCCTCTGGCAAACCCCGGCATCTCTCTGTCCAATCTCCAAAAAGGCCGAACAGAAGTACTTTGTGCCCACAAAGGGGCACGAGTACTTATACTCCCACCCAACTCCGAACTCTCTAGTGGTGGAGTCGGTGAACCACCGAGAGAGGCACGGCCAACCCGCTCCTACCCCTAAGGACAAAGACGCTCACAGGCTGGATTCCTTTGGGAGAAAAGTTTATTCGTCTGCGAGCTTTCAGCTCAGAGTGGCCAACCACCAGGCACTCTTGAGCAGATATGATTTTAACCTGTGGGGGTCCCTTGCCAAGTTTGAGCCCTCCCTCCTCGAGAAGGACAGGAAGGAGTTCCGGGCCCTTGTGGATGAGGGTGCGGCGGCTAAAGCGGCACTCCAGGTGGCCTCCAATGCGGCGAAAGACTCCCATACTACCCTGCAGACGCTGGGCCTGTACATCCCGCCGGCCAAGGACAAGCCCAGGCCTCACACCTCCGCTCCACAGGCTAGGGGTAGATATGAGCCCCCGCCTAAGAAGCAGCGGGAGCAGAGGCGCCGGTCACAATGCCAATCCCGCTTGGCCCCTCGTCCGGGGCCCTCTAAGGCCAGGAGGCCAGGGAAGCGGTGTTTTTGACTACTTGCGGGGGGTCACCGGGCCTGTTGCCAGGTTAAACCCCCCCCCCCCCCAGTTAATAAAGTTCAGGTTTGCAAATCATTTACCTGCCTTCCGTTTGCAATGGTCCCGTATTACTACGGACCACTGGGTCCTCAACACTGTATCCCTGGGGTACAGGTTGCAGTTTGTTTCGCCCCCTCCCAATTGCCCTCCGGCCAGGGAATCGGCAGAGGACCTGGAACATGTGCTCCTCCTGGGTCAGGAGGTACAGTGCCTCCTCTCCCTGGGAGCTGTGGAGAGGGTACCTTGGGAATTCCAGGTCAAGGGATTCTATTCCAGGTATTTCCTCATCCCGAAGGCGAAGGGCGGGCTTCAGCCCATCCTCGACCTGCGGAAGCTCAACCAGCTCTTGGTACGCTGCAAATTCCGCATGGTATCCCTAGCCTCTATTATTCCCTCCCTAGACCCGGGGGATTGGTTTGCAGCGCTGGACCTTCAGGATGCCTACTTCCACATCCACATTTTCAGGATGCCTACTTCCACATCACAGGCGCTTCCTCCGTTTCCTGGTGGATCAGGACCACTACCAGTTTACGGTCCTCCCCTTTGGCCTCTCGACGGCCCCCAAGGTTTTCACCAAATGTATGGCGGTGGTAGCGGCCCACCTCAGGAGGAGAGGGCTGCAGGTCTTTCCCTACCTGGACAATTGGCTGCTCAGGGCAAGTCCCGGTCCCAGGTGCAGCAGCAAGTATCCCTCTTGCTACGCACCTGCTCCGCTCTGGGCCTAGTGGTAAACGAGGAGAAAACCACGTTAGTTCCAGTCCAGCGCATAGAATTCATAGGAGTGCTGCTGGACTCCCAGGCGGCCACGGCCTCCTTTCCAAGGGACAGGTTCGAGGCGCTCAGAGGCCTCGTCGCCTCGGTCACGGCCTTCCCGGTAACCACGGCTTGGATATGCCTTCAAATCCTCGGCCACATGGCAGCATGCACCACAGTGGTGCGACACGCCAGGCTCCGGATGAGGCCCCTCCAACTCTGGTTGGCCTCTCGCTATTCCCAGGCCAGGGACGGCCTGGACAAGATTGTCACGGTGCCGCCAACGGTGGTTGCAGGCCTCCAATGGTGGTCCCTTCCGAGCAACATGCTCCGGGGAATCCCCTTCCGAGACCCGTCTCCCTCACTAGATCTAGTGTCGGATGCCTCGGACCTGGGCTGGGGAGCCCACGTGGGGGACATCAGGACCCAGGGTATGTGGTCACCCAAGGAACTGACCCTGCACATAATTGTCAGGGAACTCAGGACTGTGCACCTGGCGTGCCTGGCCTTTCGCCAGCACTTACAAGGGAAGGTGGTCAGAGTCCTCACGGACAACACCACCGCAAAGTATTACATCAACAGGCAAGGGGGCACGCGCTCCAGGGCCTTATGCCAGGAAGCCCAACTCCTGTGGGAGTTCTGTATAGCCCACAACATCCTCCTCCGAGTGTTCCACCTACCCAGCGAGAGCAACACGCTCGCAGATCGCCTGAGCAGGGTGTTCTCACATCAGCACGAGTGGTCCCTGCACAGAGAGGTGGCAGAATGGATTTTTCTTTAGTGGGGCACTCCCCAGGTGGACCTATTCGCCACCGCCCAGAACTGCCTCTGTCCCAGGTTCTGTTCCAGGGTGATAGAAGGCAATGGGGCCATGACGGACGCGTTCCTGCTTGATTGGTCGGGGCCCCTGATGTACGCCTTCCCGCCCTTCCCCCTCATAGGCAGGGTCCTACAGAAGGTGAAGTCAGATGGGGCAAGAGTTATCCTGATAGCCCCGGATTGGGCCTGTCAACATTGGTACAGAACCCTACTGCAATTCTTGGCGCCCCCCACCCGCCCCCCGCAGGCTGCCGCTCCGCCCAGACCTCCTCTCCCAGGAGGGAGGTCGTCTCCTCCATCCCAACCTGGCCCCGCTCCACCTGACAGCGTGGCTGCTCCGTGGCTAGATGCGGAGGAGGGGAGGTGTACCGAGGCCGTTAGACGGGTCCTGCTCGAAAGCAAGAAGCCGTCCACACGGAGGATCTACCTGGCTAAGGCTATGTCTTCACTACGGGGGGGTCGATTTAAGATACGCAAATTCAGCTACACCAATAGTGTAGCTGAATTTGACGTATCCGAGCCGTATCTTACCCCGCTGTGAGGACGGTGGCAAATTGACCTCCGCGGCTCCCCCGTCGACAGCGCTTACTCCTACCTGTGCTGGTGGAGTACAAGCGTCAATTCGGGGATCGATTGTCACATCCCAACGAGACGCGATAATTCGATCCCCGAGAGATCGATTTCTACCTGCCGATTCAGGTGGGTAGTGAAGACGTAGCCTAAGTGGTATCGGTTCTCCTCATGGGCGAGGGAGAGAGGTTCCTGCCCCGCGTCTGTTCTGCTCCAGCTGGTCCTGGACTACCTCCTGTCCCTTAGGACCCAAGGGCTAGCCCCCTCCTCTATCAGGGTGCACCTGGCGTCCATTTCGGTCTTCCACCCTCCAGTGGCGGGACAGTCAGTGTTCTCCCACCACATGACTTCCAGGTTTTTAAAGGGTTTGGACAGAGCGTTCCCTTATACTAAACCCCCGGTTCCCCCTTGGGACCTGAACCTGGTTCTGTCACGCCTCACAGGACCTCCCTTTGAGCCCTTGGCCACTTGTTCCTGGTCCCGCTTGTCTGAGAAAGTGGCGTTTTTGGTGGCTATCACCTCAGCCCGCAGGATTTCGGAGCTTAGGGCGCTCACCTCGGAACCCCCGTACATTGTCTTCCATAAGGGGAAGGTACAGCTTTGCCTGCACCCGGACTTCCTGGTTTCATATGGACCAGGACATTTTCCTGCCAGTCTTGTGTCCTAAGCCCCATTCCTCCAGTGTAGGCGGCGTTCCTCATATGCTATATGTGCGTAGGGCGCTGGCCTTTTACTTAGATCGAACAAGGCCATTTCGGGCATCCTCTCAGCTTTTTTCATTGCTACGGCCGAGCACATGAGAGGGCAACCGGTTTCCACCCAGCGGATTTCCCACTGGATCACCTCGTGCATACGCACAAGTGTTATGTCCTGGCTGGGCTTCCCCCGCTTCCTATTGTTAAGGCGCATTCGACGAGAGCTTTGAAACAGGAATAGGCTCATGTCCCTATTCAGGACATCTGCAGGGCTGCTACGTGGTCCTCTGTCCATACTTTTGCATCGCACTATGCGATCGTCTCCCAAGCAAGGGACGACGCCGGGTTTGGTAGGGCGGTGCTCTGCCCGGGTAACCCTTAACCTTTATCATTTAGAACTCCTACCCACCTGCGTTAGGTATAGCTTGGAGTCACCTACTGTGGAATACACAGGAGCAATCACTCGAAGAAGGAAGGACAGTTACCTGTTCCATAACTGGCGTTCTTCGAGATGTGTTGCTCCTGTCTATTCCACATCCCACCCTCCTTCCCCTCTGTCGGAGTTGTCTGGCAAGAAGGAACTGAGGGTGGGGGGAGCACGCAGCCCCCTTTATAGCGCGATATGTTGGCGCCACTCCAGGGGTCGCAGCGGTGCTCCCCCACTACGGATGCTGCTAAGGGAAAAACTTCCGGCACCGGTGCACGTGGCAAGCACGCACCCCTACTGTGGAATAGACAGGAGCAACACATCTCGAAGAATGCCAGTTACGGAACAGGTAACTGTCCTTTCTCTTCATACTTGAATCAGAGTTAGCAGTTTTCTTCAGAGAAAACAATTGGGTATGGTGAAAAAGAAGCACTGTTGGAAAGAAAATGAGGGGTTCATAATAGGGAAACCCCAGTTTTGCTTTTTGTGTACATGGATTTCCCTTCTTCACAGTATTGGAAGATTCAAACTCAAGTTTAACAATCTATGGGATTTTTTTTTTTTAATACAAAATGTATTGTGGAGAGGGCAGGAACACCCAAAAATGTGTTGAATGTGTTTCTGACCATTTTATTTTATTTTACCTTCACATCTCAGGAAATTCAAGATCTTATCAGCAGTGGGTGCATACAGTAAAGGTATAACAATTTTATTTTTATTTGACTAGTTTGTTTATTTTTGGAAAAGTCAGCATACTGAACATCGAGCTTTAAAAGGATATTTGACTTTATATGGTCAATTAGCCGCATTCTCTAAATTTGTGTAGTGTTCCTTGTATTAATGTAACAGAGAAAGCATATTACACTAGTAAGGAAGTTATTTTTACCTAAATATTTTTTTTATAAACTAGTGTCTTTGTCATGACAATATTTTTATATTAGTTTAAAAATGAGAAAATGTCTCATGCACAAAATAAATGCCAAATTTTGAAAAGCACAGAATGTTTTTCTGTTCATCTAGCCAAGGATTTTTCTGTACACTGTATTGTGTTACATTCCATAACTGTGAGTTAGGTGTGGTACTAGGATTTGATAGGAATTTTATCACTTCTAGTAAACAGCAGTTTGGTTAATAATGTTTTTACATAGTCTGACTAACAGAGGACCTTTGTTGCACAACATTGTTACTAGGGAGGATTAGTAAAATATAGTACTTTAGACAAAACTCTTGTGATTAAATAAGACATGATTACCTCAATGTGATAGAAATAGTTTTTTTAAAATGATACAATATATACATGAATAAGCCAAGGAAAGCTTCCAATATTACATGTAATGTGGTAACAGTTCATGCATGGGTATGAGAATACGTCATTATGTTAGAATGCATTGATAAATATGTGTCAGCCATGATAATGACATACTGTAACCCTTGTGTAGATGTAGACAGCAGGTTGTAGATAGAATGCAGCTGTGGAAATTTTTCCTAATTTAAAAAGAGGGCTACTAGTTTCCTACTTTATTTTATGTCAGCCTGTCATTTATTTTTCTTGCTATTGTCTTAACTTTTAATCTTTGTTATAAGGGTTATTAAAATATGCTTTTGTATGTTTCAGAAAGGAGGTGCACTAATCAACACAGCTATGACCAAAGCCAGCCCTGCTGTGAAGACAGCATACAAATTTGTAAGATCAACACAATCTGTGCATAAAAAATTACAGAAACCACCTACAATCTCCAGTTATTGTCAAAAACTGAAAAAGCTGTATAGTTCCAATATGTATTACAGAAAAACATTACAGCCTAAGAAATTGTTTTCATCTTTTATTCCTATCTTGTGAGGGAACAATAACCACTCTATGTTACTGTTTTAAGTGGTTCAGTATGCTATTTTTGGCTTCATTCAAAATATACAGTAGATGCTTATTTGAATACCTATTACATATTTGAAATACAGCTGAAAACCTCTACTTAACTGATGATCTTAAAATATGGACTCTGAAAATACTAAATCTCATTACTACTTAGTAGTATACTAAGGCCCCTTTACTCCTCCCTGGCAGTGTAAATTAAAAGTCAGTATAAATGTTGTGTACAGTTCTAGGTGGTGTAAAGGAGTCTTTGTGTAAATAACAATATGTCCCTAAGGACTCCACTTTGACACTGAGTGGTACCCTATCCAGAGTGGGTTGGGAAGCATTTATATTGTGTGCAAGGAACAATTGCAGTCCAAAACTTCCACCATAAGCAAACTATTACTTATCTGGGTATGAGCATCTTTTAAACTTATTGTTATGGTGTTAATAAAATAGCACTAATTCAAAAAGTTATGGACTTGCACTCTTGGCCCTTGATTTACAGCTCATCTAGATGAAGCTGGGGTGTAAATCTGCACCGCTCTAGCATGTCACATGCTAACTGTCTACATGAACCTGCATGTAAAAGTTACCTGATGCATTTTGATCTACCCCGCTTTGAAACAGGAATAGGATCAAAGTGTTCTAGGGAACTTTTAGTGCATGGTAGCAGGGTCCACACTGGCAGTGCGCAGCAGGCTAGTGCAGTGAAGATTTACACCCCAGCTTGCCACACGCTGTTTAACTAGTTTTATGTCTTCAGTTTGACAAGCAGTCCAGTTTTTAAATGATCTTTAAATATCCCTAGATCATAAAGAATGTGAATTACATTATAATATCCAGGGTATAGAAACAATGTGGTAGTTTGTAAGAAATGACACAATAAGTATTTTAAGATTGGGTTCAAAGCACACAGGGGAAGAATCTTCTCTGCCTTTCTTTTGGCTTTTCCAAGGGCTCTTTAGATTGATGCATAGTAAGTAGTTCTGAATAAATCAGTGCTACAGTGTGATGCTAGTAGATTTTAAATAAAACTTAAAAAGAGAATTTTTAATTATACATCAATTCAAACTCTTACAAAAGTCATGAGGAAAGAAACAGGTAAATAAATTAAAGGTACTGTATAACCACCCACTCATTTATAATTTAAAAATGGTTCATTAACAGGCTAGCAGGAAATTATTCTCCTCCTCTATTTTTCATGAGCTTAGATGAGGTTTCATGATTTCCTCCCAGCTACCCATTTTGCCCATTATGTCCCTGATCCTACAACTTTCTGTATCAGCAGACTCCTTGTGTGCAAGAAGCCTTATTAATTTCAGTGGGAATCTGTGCATGGTCAGGCATAGATCAAGGTGCAGGAGCAGGCCTATATGTCCTCTCTTGCCCTTTCCCCTTCCATACATGCATGCATCTACTACATGGCACCCTGTTGCCTTGTTATTGAGCTACTGAGCTTATGATTTAAGGGTCACATTTTCAAAAGTTCCCTAATCTGGCCATCAAAACTATCCCAAGTTGTTGTACAGACGCTCCCCAGGTTACGCAAGACATGACTTACGCAAATTCGCACTTACAGAAAAGGTTCCGTAAGCCAGAAATAGGATTTTCAAGTGCGGAAATTTTTGCGTAACGTATGGGTATACGTTTCCAATTTACACAAAATTCGAGTTACACAAGGCTTTCCGGGATGGAACAATTGCGTAGGTCAGTGGGCATCTGTATATGGAAACACTTATAACTCTCCCCACAAACTACATCTCCCTGGGTGCCAAATCAATAATTAAGATGTGTGTGTCACTGATTTTCATGGGTAGAGTCTGAAGTTTTTCATATATCGCCCTTAAATGTGAAAAGTCATAGGCATAATTTTCAAGGCTACTTTAGAAAATTGGTTCTAAAAGTTAACTTGAATCTAACGCGGTTCATGTAAGGAAAACTTTCCTATTTCTCTTAAGACCAGGTTAGCATTTTTTCTATCAAAAATAAAATGTAGAAAATTTAGAATATAATTACTTGTCATCTAGAATGGTAATTCATCTCTAAATAGAAGGATGCCCTTGGGTCCATTTTCTGTGCAAATTATTGTCATGAACAATCATGGGACTTGGCTGCCTATTTTAATGCACACAGTTTCCCCCTAACTATCAGCACTACGCTGTTCAGCAACGCTGGAGAAATTCTCCATCTGCATATAAAACCACTTCATTTCTTTTAAGATTGATGTTGCCTTGCAAGTTACCAGACTGGAACACTATAGCAGTGAGCTTGAAAATCTTAACAGTTTTCCAACATGAGTTGCTATTAAAATACTACTTCAAATTTAAAGGACCATCTCAAATAAAGGGATGGACACTAGAGACCAGTAGGATGGTTCATTTTTAGCAATAGGTGAGGATACATTTGCAAAATTAGTGTGTTTTCACAACATAGGCATGTATGCACAATTCTTATTAACTGACTGTTATTAGCATAGTATAGCTAACTGATACAGCCCAGGTGAAATTAGTGATAGAGATTATTATCCTTATATCACATAAAATTTAAAAAAATATTTCTCATTAAGTAGGCCTTATGAAGCATATTCTTTGAACAAAGCCTATCTCTTGCACCACCAGTTAAGTCCTTTTGTTTTAATTTTCTAGGCAAAAAGTCATGCAAAGCAGGGAATGAAAGAAGTGAGGAGTAAGTTAAAACACAAGGTATGTAATACAATTTTACTTTCTTACCTTGCTTCTTGTATCAGTTTGAAGCTTATACTTTACAAATCACATGAGATTTGTGTTTTTAATGACTTTTGAAATATGCTTAGCCCTTTGTTCAACAATACATTTTTCATAACGAGCCCTCTGGCAACTATCTGTCATTCTATGCATCCACTGAATAATCTCTTTATTGTTTGCATATTTTATCATAGAACAACAGAGATCTTCAAAGATACGTTAACAGGATGTATGTTTTCATAAAGTTGATTGCTTTGATATCACAATTGAAGCCTTTGCTTCAAGCTGAGAATTTAAGACAGGATAGTCTTGCAGTACAATGTAATTCAGAAGGTGTAGTTGTCTGTTTTGGATTCATAAGATCCGAGCACAATGTTAATGTTTTAAAATAGAGAAACATTTCAACTTTGAAAAGTAACATAGAAATATCAGAATGAAGCTTGATTTAGGCATTTAAGGACAGTTTTCCTAATGAGTTTTATTTCTTCACTTATGATTATCCTTGTGAGAAGGGGGAACTAACTTCAATGTTATTTTATACTTTTCTCAAATATAAAGTTTAAAAAAAATTTCATAAACATTAATGGATTTAAATTGTTTTATATACATTCTAAAAGCTTAATTTGAAAACTTCACTCTGTGGCATTTGATAACTATTAACTTTTTGCAATGCTGTATTTCATTTTGTTAATAGATATGATCTTATGACAAATATTTAGTAACAAATGATCTGTATTAACAAAATTATTTTTAGTACTCTATGTATACATAGGATATGTAGATAAATATTGTAAACATGAGATTTTAAATCTATTCTGTTGTGTAGGAGAGTGATGAAGAATATGGAACTTGTAGCTCTGGTGTACTACAGTGTGCGCCAGTGTACACCTTACACAATCAGAAAAGAGGAAACTCAGAAAAACGAAGACTTGCCCAGGTAAGTCACCTGAAACCTTTGCTATCACTTTCTTAAAATATGGGGGGAAACTGTTTTCCTGTTACAGTAATGTGTTAAAATATTATGGTAAATACCTTTATTACTATCTGTATTCAGGAAATATGATAAGTAGTATTCACAATAATACTGCTTGCATAATATGCTGTTTTGAGAGTTGAGAGAATGGCTTATCATATATCATCCTCCTGGAGGGGAAAAAATAGGAAATTCAGCAGGGAGATGAGGTTGCCAGGTGTACGTCTCCAGGAAAAGAAATCACAATTGATCCTTAGATATAGGACTATATTTTCAAACAAATATTTAAAATTATTTAATAAATACTGTTTAAAAGTACAAAGAGTACAAAACAGATAAATGCTAGGAATATTGAAGGTGTGATCTATTGAAAAGTTTACTTAGTAGTATGTATCTTTTATGGACTCCCATTAGATAAATAATTTCATAGGCATAAAACATACATATCAGATCAAGCATGAATATTAGTTTTTGAATAAAGGAATTCTGGTATATTCACGTATGCCCAAGCCAATTTTCACTGATAAACTGTCTTTTTACAACCCTAAAATACAGTGGTATGTGTTAATACTTTACCTAAAGCCAGTTGATTTTGAGAGAGGGCATGCCTTTAATTCAGACCTTGCTCAAGCTGATTATCATATAGTGAATTTACTACTAAGTCAATTAGCTAACACTGTGTCAGATGTCTTGTTTTTCTGTTCTCAGTTCCTTTAATGGGTCTGGTCCTCTATAACAGGTGTAATATCTCGGTTTTAGCCCAGTACTAATTCCCGAATGCCCAAATTCTATTTGAATTATTGCTTTATTCTATACAGAGTAATAAACAGTCTCGGGGTTTTGTGATCTCTTTTGAATAAGAATATATATTTTTAATAATATATACAAACTCCTGCTTTCGATACCACAAATGTTTCTTCCTTAGATAAGAAGTGTGTACTGTAGGTCTTCGAATTGACAGTTGAATTTACCGGACTATTGACACTATTTTACTTTATATATAATAATAATGTTATGATAAAATTCTAATTTTGTAAGCCCATGCATTCAGGTGTTTTGACTGATAAAATAGAAAGTGTTTGTGGAAACTAATATACAATTAGGGTAGATTAATGACATGGTCAGTAGAATGTTAGAAAATGTATGGTAATACTGAGGCCATTGGTTCCAGTGGTATAAATAATGTAGGCAGATCTATTTTAATTATGCAGGTGGATTCTCTTCTGTAACATGTTTTTCGGGTTTCTTTTTAAATACAGTAATACTAAAGTCGGCAAGTGTGTGCTGTCATTGTATTTTCACATAGACTAACACAGTGCGTCCTTTCTTTCAAGAACCTTGTATAGTTTAAATTTCCTGCCTTGACTGTTGAGACAGAAGATATGCAGATACATTTAGAATTTTAAAAATGTAGTATTTATAACAGAGATTGATATTTATTTTTAATTGGTAACTGTCATTCTAATATACAGAAACTTTTTCTTTAACCACATCTGTGTCGCATAACACTGCTTTTTTCAGTACACTGTAGAAACACATACCCAAATCTGTTTATATGTTCACTTAAACTTTTATGCAAATGTACAACACAAATATAGCTAAAATATGTGTCTGCACATTCAGATGCTTTTAAATGCTGCACATATAGAAAAACTGTTAGCTTATTAATTTACTTCATGGTCAGGTCTGTCTGCTGTTCCACTTTAACTGTTTAATTTTAGTACTGGAGTCAACATCAATAAATTGTACCAAAGTAAATTTTATTATTAGATACTAATGTTTCTTCTGAAGGACTGTGTTATTGTAGAATACTTAAACATTTATATGATTTTTCATTCATACAATCGTATAATACTGAGATTTAGTACATCTTTTCTGACAACTAGCCAACTTTTTATTTGTGAAACAGCATACACTTCTTTCAGAATGATACAGTGTATCAGGTCAGAACAGCTGAGATTTTTTTTGTCCTATATAGAGCAAGGAAAATCTTAATGCTCTTTAAAAAGCGGGGGGTTGTTTACAAGACAAGCTCTGTTACTAATGGGTCCATATCTTTGCCGAGCTGAGAGAGCAGCATGACCCATGTCCCCACCCCATCCTCTACCCTGAATGTCACATGCACTCAGTAGGCAGGAAACAACAAGCTGTAATCACTGACCAAGAAGTTTGGTCTTCTACAGTTCCAAAAAATGCAAACTGGGCTTTGTGGTTCCAAAACATCATTATCTATATGGAGTCTCAGGCTGTCCTACATGTTATAATTGGTGCTGTTTTTAAACATGGAGGCTCTTAGCATCAGCTAACAATAATGCAAGATCCATTGAACTAACTGCTGGCTTTGAGAGCTTGCATCTATATAAATTATATTACTTATTATTATTAATATTATTATTAAAAGCAAATGAATTGCATTCATTGCTACACTTCATAATTGTAGAGCTTTGTCTGGAGCTTTCCTTCCTGCTGATTAATCTTTTTGTCCAGGTTTCTAAAATGGCGCTGCTCACTGTCATCTCACTGTAGTCACTGAAAAATAAGATAGTGCTAATGGTCACACAGTAGCTTATGCATTTAAATATACATTTTAAATAATGGATAAAGGTTGGTTCATTGAAAAATCAACTATGAGAATACTTCTAAAATCCCAGACAGTGTAGATTTTTAAGTCTTCTTACCTCAAGACAATGAGGGCTTCACCCACACCCCCACTCCTCCATCCCCATTATCAACCATCTCACAGTAAGTCATTTTAAAGTACTGCAACATAAAGAATTTAATGTTACACTTTCTGTTTCATGTCAGGCCTATTGATGGGAGTTTTTATTTCCCCATTGCTGCTTTCCAGTAAACCATAAATGTCAAATTAGTCATTTGAAATTAATTCAAAAATATTGTTTATAATTTAAAAAAAATACTTTATAAAATAGTGTATGATGCTGAAGTTCTCTTGATTCTAGAGATCAGTTTAATGACTGTTTCATTACCAGGAGATTTTGTACAATAGAATGTGAATCTGCTTTTTACCCCAACAAATAGTAGTTTGTATGCTGGTCTACTAATTAGTACGGTTATTTCCTGTTTTGTTGATGAGGCTTAAATAAATGTCAAGGGTACAGCCATGAAGATCTTCCAATTAGGCTTTGCGTTTGTAAAACCCAACCCCTTTGCTTTTGTGTGAAGATGACAGTTCCAACTGCAGCCTCAGCCTAACAGGGCTCAAGGGAAAGGATTCTTCTCTGGTTTTATTGAAAACAAGGCCAGTTTGGCCCAGTGAGAATACCGGCACTGGTCACAATGCAGAGCCATTTTTAACAATGAATATTTACTAATCTTTATCATTGCCCTTGTGGTTGTTTTAAAAAAAATAGACTTTAAAAAAAAATCAGAATGAATTATGATATGTAAAAGAGCTGCTGAAGCTTAATCAGAGGATAAATAATTAAATCTGTTATCACAAACTATAGTGTTTATATTGGTTTCCTTTAATTAGCATTTGGGAAATCTTTCCCAAGGAAAGCAAAACAAAAAACAAAACAAAAAAAACCACAATTCAACTTAGCCTAAGATAGTGTTAGAAAAATTGTTCTCTCTCTCTCATATATGTTTGAGCCCACTCTTGCTTAGGTTAGCTATTCTGGGCTTTTTGTGTGTGCGGGAGCTTAGCTGTATTGCAAGTCAACATTAACAGATGGATTGCCCTAAGCAAGGGAAAACCACAACAACAAAATCTAGTGAAAGTAGAGGATTGAAGCTTTTTATTGTTAAGCCTTATTAAAACCTTGGCATGTACACTACTGTTAACTGTTTCATGCCTTGAACTAATAGCATTTCTCTGATATTTTCTGTATTCTAAGTAGACAAGGTACATGAGATAGTATGAGAAATTTCGAGTTAAATGTTTTGAACGACAAACTAAAGCAAAACATGAGATTGTTTCAGCCCATGTTTACATTATTTTGCCACATATTATTAGCAAATTACACTCTGTTTTTACTATTTACCAACATTTTTTTGGTAATACATGAATTAAACTACTGAGAACTCAGTTTTTCATAATTCATTTTAATTCCTTTTCTTTACATGCATTGATGCAGTGCAGATTTCGGGGTGGGGGCGGGGGAGTGTACACAGACACAACCATGTTTCTACCATACTGCTTAAAATACTACACACACAAAAAAAAGAGTTTCAGTAAGAAAAAAGGAGGAATACCAGGAAGATCTGTTTGTTTTCATGAATATGATCTATGTAATTTTACCATATGTAACCATTATCCCAAGTGATTGGTGGCTTATTTAAAAGGGAACATTGCTGGGTTTAAATAGTCCTTATATATTCAGTGGCTTATAAAACATGCTAGCAGATTTGCAGAGTACTATGTAACAACTATGAGCTCATTTTATAATTAATAAGCTACCAATGCACCCTTGTCTCAAAGGAAATAGACGTAAGACTTATAGGCATGCAGTAACTTGTAGCCATAATAAAAAATAGGGCATTTGGATTGTAAGTGTGGATTTACTGGGAATCCCAATGTGTCCCTGCTACTTTACTTACACATATATCAAAGCAACTAGGTGAACTACTTGTCATGACTATGCAGTATTTTAAATATAGTGTTTTAAAAATCTCGTTTATAATTGAAACCTCTTTATGTAACAAGTGTAACTAAAACCAGTTCAGATTAAATCTTTTATCTTGCTTTCCCCAAACATAAGTGAATTGACCAAATAAAAGTATTCTTTCTCTTTTCTTTTTAAAGCAGAACATAGATGTGACTTTCAGATACTTAGTATAAATATAGCATAATGAATAGAACACACACAGTTCAAGTGATAGAATGTGTACTTTGGCTCCTCCTCAACAGCTATTGCAAGTCTCAGAGGAGGAGGCAGCATTCAGCATCTTCAGGAGAATACCGAATGCCCCATACATCAATACCACCTCCAATGGCTAGCAAA